ATAAACCCACCTCCAGAATCAGATTTAGTGCGAACTAACTTTAGTGCGAATTGACACTCGCACTAAAGTCTTATAAAGATCAATTTCTCTGTTACTAATTATCATATTAAAAAAATCAGGTGTGTCTTTCACTAAGCAACATCTCTCTCAATTAAACAATCACCTGAATCCTTTGTAGAATCTCCAGATTTCTCCAAAGATGATCTCCAGATTTTTTAGTAATTCTTTCAGTCTTCCAAAGATATTGTTCTCAAAACTGTTTTGCCCACGTCTCTGCCACGTTGCTTGGAGCAAAATAATTTCATTATTGCTCAGATTAATTGCAACTTGTAACTCCATTCATTAGCTTCAAGAGATGATATGGTTCTGTGATGAGTTTTATTATCTGATACACCAATTTGAACTTTAAGTTTGTATCGACCAGTTGAAAGCATCATTTTCTGTCCAATAAGAATATTTTCTATTTCCATTTTAAGTTTAAAAATATGTACTACCATTTTTTCTGCACACTTTAGGACCCCATTACCTCCCAATTTATGATTAACTAGGTTTTTCCTTTTTTCCGCATGGATAAAAATGTTCCTTGCCTTAAATTAAATTTAAAGTTTCAAAATCTTATTAACATTTTATCAAAAAATTTATTCCTCATTAAATATTTTTTAAACAACTCAAATTTAAATAAATCGACTAAAGCAAAGCAGTGAGGGTATATTGGAAAAGTTTCTTCTAGATTAGGAATCTAAATTATTTTTGATTGGTGTAAGAGTTGAACTTGCTCTTGTTTAGAACTTTTGACGATCATTTTAAGTTGTATAGTTAACAAAACCTTTATAATCATAAATCTTATAAGTTATTTGATATATTTTGAGCAATGAAGTATTTTTTTACCTGTCTAACTTGAAAAAGCCATATTTCTGGAGTTTCTTTTCCTTGTGCTTGTAGGTATAAATTTCTTTTACAATTGCACATACATGGTTAAACGCATCATTTAACTTAGAATTAAACCCATTATATATATATATATATATATATATATATATATATATATATATATATATATATATATATATATATATATATATACCCATTATATATATATATATATATATATATATATATATATATATATATATATATATATATATATATATATATATATATATATATATATATATATATATATATGTATATATATATATATATATATATATATATATATGTATATATATATATATATATATATATATATATATATATATATATATATATATATATATATAAATAAATATATATATTTATATATATACATATATATATATATATATATATACATATATATATATATATATATATATATATATATATATATATATATATATATATATATATATATATATATATATGTATATATATATATATATATATATATTATATATATATGTATATATATATATATATATATATATATATATATATATAAATAAATATATATATTTATATATATACATATATATATATATATATATATATATATATATATATATATATATATATATATATATATATATATATATATATGTATATATATATATATATATATATATATATATAAATAAATATATATATTTATATATATACAGATATATATATATATATATATATATATATATATATATATATATATATATATATATATATATATATATATATTGTTAAGTTAACAACAATATTAATACAAATTAATATAATTAATAATTAATATAATTAACAAAGAACTTGTTAATTATATTTTAAATCCTTGTTCTTGACTCAAACTAGCAACATTAAAAAAACTCATCTGATTAAGTTCTTCGATTTCATTCTAATAAAATGAGCTCAAACCGAAAAACAAGTTTAGTGTGGAAGTACTTCATAATTGAAGCAAACAATCCAAGAATGGTTCAGTGCAAAATCTGCAACAGCAAAGTTTCAAGAGGATCTGACGACCCAAAAAAACAAGGATTAAGTGGACTCACGTCACACCTGAAGAATCATCATCCTGACATCAAACTTACGCCCGAAAAAGCAGAAAATCCAAAGGCAAATGAAGAAGCTGACTTAAATTCCAACAAGAGAAAGGCAGTTACAATCTTCAATATGCGATCAAAAAAACAAAGATCCGACATGTTACAATCTACAATTCCAAACTGGGTTCAAGCTTCTTCAAAAATTGACTCTAATTCTGAAAAAGGCCAAAAATTTCACAAGTCAATTTTTGAAATGATGATTCTTGACCTCCAACCATGGTCTATTGTCAATGATGCTGGATTTTTGAGGCACCATGCTCTTATTGCTCCAAATTACGAAATTGCTAGCGAAAAATACTACAGAAGTTTACTGGATCCGACTTACGAAAAAACTAAAGTTGCTCTCAAGGAAAAGCTGGTTCAATCAGAAGCTGAAAATGTGTCTGTCTGCCTTGATGCATGGTCATCATTTCATCATGGCTATCTGGGAATGACTGTTCACTTTATTTCCAAAGACTGGAACCGTGTCAAATTCTGCATCTCTTGTTCTCCATTTGATGAAAGTCATACTGCAAAAAATATTTTCAAAGAGATCAAAGCAGCAGCAGAGGAATGGGAAATTTCTTCAAAAATTGGAGTTTGCTTAAGAGACAACGCAGCAAATGTAAAAGCAGCCTTCAATGAGCCAAGCTGTAATTATAAGTCAGCTGGATGCCTTAACCACTCCCTTCAACTTGTGATAAAAAAAGACCTATTATCAGATCCTACCATCAACGAACTGATTGAAAAGAGTCGAAAACTTTGTTCTTACGCATCCCATTCTATTGGTTTCTACACTGAACTTTACAGACAGCAAGAAATCCAAATGGATAGAAAAGACAGACTTGGCTTAAAAAACGATGTTGCCACAAGATGGAACTCTACCTATTACATGCTTGAGCGAATTTTACACCTGAAACCAGCCATTGCTGCAACCTTACTCAAATTTCCTTCTGTGGGAATTGAATTTTCCGCCCAAGATTGGAGCCTCTATGAAAAAGTGGTGAGGATTTTAAGTGTTTTTGAGGAGGCAACAAAAATGTTGTCAGGTAGTGGTTCTTGTATCAGTTCCTGCATTCCAATTGTGACAACAATAGTTAAAGCTTTGGAAACAACCTCCGGCGACGTCAGTGTTCAGAAATTGAAAATAGCTATGAAAAATGCAATGGAAAAACGTTTTTCAGCAATTGAAAAAACAGAACATTATTCAGTTGCTACTTTACTTAATCCAAAATACAAATGGTATTTTTTCCGATCTCAAGCTGCTTTGCAAAATGCCAAACACATTGTCATGTCCCAAATGGAGAATTTTGAACCTCTTGAAGATGAATTGGCTCCTGTTACTCAAATTCCATCTGGTGACAATGAAAAAAACACGGCATTCTCGCACATAATGTCAAAAAATTATTGCACAGTCTCAAACAGGACCAAATGAGCATTCATCTTCCAAAATGACGAGGGAAGTGTTGAAGGATTTTTTGGATTGTCCAATGGCTTCTCATTGCCTAGAATTTTGGAAAAACTATGAAAAAAATGCGACTAGCAAAATCAAGTTAGCATTGACTAAGGTGGCAAAAAAGTACCTCACACCACCCCCAACATCCACAGATGTTGAAAGATTGTTTTCTACGGCTGGAGATATTCTATCTAACGAAAGAAACAGACTCCTTCCAGAAAATTTAGAAAAACTCCTTTTTTGTCGAGAAAATCTTGCAGTTGTTGGGTTCTGCTATTAATCATTTTTTATTAATTTAACTTTGTGTTTTAATTGGAATAAACTTGCAAACAAAAACTATTATTTATTTTCGGTTCCGGTTTCGGTTTCGGCTCTGGTTAGGGTTTACTTTCGGTTCCGGTTCCGGTTAGGAATATTTAAAATCTATTTTCGGTTCGGTTCCGGTTCCGGCAAAATTTCAGTGCCGGTCGATCACTACATTAGAGTATATTAATTAAGCGTGCTAAGTTTATTCTTATTAAGTTTACGCAGTTTTAACGTAAAACTGCGTGACTTAAAAACAACAACTAAGATCGAGTAAATTATACCGTAAAATAATTTAAAAAAAGGTGGAGGTGGATTCGATCATCCATATACTTTTTAAAAATCTTTTTTTTTCTCTTTTTATTTGTCTCTTTTCTCTCCTAATAAGTTTTTCAATTAAAGGTTCTTGAAAAATAAAGCTTAATAAAAAAAAAAAAACCTTTGGCCGTCTAAATTGATTAAATACCCCACAGTGCGATTAGCTATTTTCTTTGTAAAGTAAAAAGGAAGCGATGTCCCAAAAGTTACGTTTTCTTTCTAATTAACATATAAAACTCGAAATTATTTTGATTATTTTGTACAAAAACTCGCGTAAAAAATGTTATTGTTTTCTACAAAAAGAGTGCTCAATGTTCTTAAAGAACAGAACAATAATAAATTAGTAAAAACAAACTCTTATCTAACTTGAGCTTCTACATATATATATATATATATATATATATATATATATATATATATATATATATATATATATATATATATATATATATATATATATATATATATATATATATATATACATATATATATATATATATATATATATATATATATATATATATATATATATATATATATATATATATATATATATATATATATATATATATATATATATATGTATATATATATATATATATATATATATATATATATATATATATATATATCGAAATATTATGTCTGATTTTTTTATTTACTTTTATTTATGCAACTTGTTTATTTTGACATATTAACAAAAGTCTTTATAAAATAAACTATGGTAAGTAATGTTTACCATAGTTTATTTAACTAACTCTGTAAACATAACAAAAAACCAATTTTTTAATTCAATTAATTCAATTCTAAAGTATAAAATGTTAACTGACGCCTTATAAAAAAATTAAATATTATCTGTTTATGTAAACAAATGAAATCTAAGAACGCTGCTTTCCTAAAAACTCTAAAATCAACTGTAATAAAAATATTTACATGGGAAGAATAGATTATAATATAATTTAAACAAAACTCGGTAAGTAAAATAAAACTGACTTTTAAACTTAAATACCTATTTTGATTAATTATGTTTAATATGAATATGAAAAGATAACTTTTAGACATGGTGCGAACTTTAATACTTACATCAAGTGAGAATGCTTTGCATACAACTGCTGTGTTTAAAGCCTGCGAACAACAAAAACGTTAAACCTTATGCCACCCTCCAACATCGAATGTATGGGAAATAATTATATTAGTTTTATATTGTTTCGTTAAATTAAATATATATTTACTGATAAATTTCAAATTTCATCAAACTATATTTTAGTGTTTAAAAGTTACGAGCATTTAAATCTTTCCCCTCAAAAAAAGGAAAAAACAAAATAAGGGGTTTAAAAGTATATAAGCTTTCAACCCCTCAAAATAAGGGGTTTAAAAGTATATAAGCTTTCAACCCCTCAAAATAAGGGGTTTAAAAGTATATAAGCTTTCAACCCCTCAAAATAAGGGGTTTAAAAGTATATAAGCTCTAAATTATTGCACTCACATTTAGGTTAGGGGGACAAGTTTTGAAGTTTGCTCCATGTCTGAACTCTGTCTCAACCATCACATCTTTTTTATTATTTAAATAGTTCATCACATTATTTATTTTTTGAATTTGAACAAAATAATTATGTTATTGCAACTCAGTTCAGGTGTCCACCAAGATTTTGAATGTAAAGTACATTTTATTGTAAGATGATTTGAAAAGCTTAAATAGCGCTGTCTGTAATCCAATTAAAGATTCGGCCAAAGTAAATTTTGAACATTTATTTTATATGCTTTGTATAAATTACGAAATAAACGAAACTTTCAAAAATATCGTATAAACACATAGCTATGGACGTTAATAAAATAATAATTAAATAACTCACTTATTATAACGAATTTCAAAAAACACTAAAATGTGCGCAACGACACGATAAATTAAACGACATTAAAAAATTATTTTAATTATAAAATTTACAAAATTTAAGTTTTTAAAAAAATTGTTTTTATCCCGAATTAGGGTACTGTGAACCTGATTCTGAATGCATACAAAATATATGGAATTGCTTTAAATTATGCTATGGTAAAAAAAAATATTCTATTGGCATTCAATGCATATGAATTCCATAGAAGGATTGAAATCAATCACGCAAGAGACGCAAGACTAGCACACTGTTTGCATGTAATCATGAAAACCAAGAATAACATAAACAAACGGGCTCTTCTATCTGATCAATGTTTTCTGAAAAAATGTTTTCTTGAATCCTGGGTTTTTTTTTTTGCTAGTTTTTATGATGACTGTCTTACTTTTAATTTTTTGCATATTTTCGAGATGCAGCAGAAATTATTTTTGCTCTCAAAATTTTTTTGGCAGTTGGTCTGGTTTTGTTTTTTTTTTAATTTTTATTCGGCAAATTTTTTATTCATCAAAAATTATAGAGTCAGCTGAGGTTATGTTATAATGGCTGGTCATTTAACTCTTTCTTTTTTTTTTTCTTATTATCCAAAGGTGTAAGTTAATTTTTAAGCAACATTAACATCGTAAAAGGTGTATTAATTACAGGCTGAAATAATAGAGCACAATCACAAAAAAAAAAAAGGTGGGGGAAGGGGAGGAGCATGTACCCTTCCCTCCGGCGTCGTCATCAACTCTGAATAAACTATCAATACTCTCTTCTTCAAAAAGTTTGACAATTCCAGATTTTTTCAGAGAATTTTTTTCGATCGATTAAGTGGAAATAAACCACTGCTGATAAAACCACTACGAATGTTATCAGGTTTAAAAAATTTTTTTTTCGATAAGTTACTTAAAAATGGCAAGAGCATATCTATTTGTTAAAGATTGAAACTTATTTCTAGTTAAAAAAATATCAAATTATAAAGTTATTTCCTTTTGCTTTTTATGATATTTTGTGAACACTTAGAAGTATCTTCATATGATATTGTTTTGTCATTAATGGCTTAAAGAGCTAACTGTTTTCAAGCCTCTTTCTCTGTATTTTTTCTTGATTCAGCTGCATTCATTTCATAATACAATAAGTAAATTAACTCATTTATATACACAAGGTTATGGGCAATAATTATGAATATTCAGAAATAAATTAAGTAACACATTTACATAAACAAGATTATTATTGTTATTTATTTTTCTCTGAACCACCCAGTAAATAAAATTACATTTACGAAATAAATTACGACCAGTAAAACAACACGGCTTTCAATGTTGCTAACCTTAAATGCTAACAACTAGATGATATGCTTTTCTCAGTTAGTTGTTTTAGTGTTTTCAAAACATTCTCCTCCATCAAAGTTTTATAAATTGCTCTTTGTTCTTTGCTCTATGTTCTTTGTTCTTTAAGTTCCATAACTGGAACGAATCTTTTAACATTGTAACAACATCCGCTAGCAGTTTTTCCATAGGTTGTGTAAGTTTTTTTTCCCCTTTCTATCATACACTGGAAGAGGTTTACGCCAAGAGTTTTACATGTAGTCATCACTTCATTTGTAAAACGTTTTTATAATTTTGTGTTGCCAGTAGTTGCTTCAATATCATGAAAAAGCAAGTTCAATTTTTCATCAGCCTGATAAATAGATTTACTTTCTATCTAGGGAGATTACTTGAAATATTCTCTATTTTAAAAAATGAATGCATGTAGCTTTTAATATATTTTGAGATCTAAAAAAATGATTTTAAAAACTGCTTTTCCGACTGATCTATGCTGCTAAGATATACTAGGATATACTCGGACATATAAGTAAGATATTTTAGAAGTTTAGTGAAGATAGATAATACACTTATTCCACAATAATTATATGGGTTATTAAGTGAATTTTTATATGACTTAACAAGTGAAATAATTTTTGAAGTTGATAGATCTCTTCGGACATTCCCATTTATTACAATACTGTTATAAAATTTAGAGAGCCACAAAAGGATATTGTTGTTATCAGAGTTTTTGAGGTGTTCAGAACTTATCCTATAACTATCTGAAGACATAAATATTTAGTAGTAAGATGCTATTTATAATATCAGCTGTTTTAATTACTAATGAAATAAGCTCGCTATTTAGAGGTGGAATTTGAATATGAATTTGGTTGTTATTTATAATAAGCGGCGTATCGAGTATATTTTTAAAAGTTTGTCTTATTTCCTTAACGATATCTTTTACGTTTATTAATTGAAAATAACCAAGTTACTTGCTCTGGTTTTGAATTTAAAAATGTTGTCCAAACAAAAAATATTGAGAATTTGTAGTTTGCAAATTTTCAATATTTATTGTTTTTCATGGAAATTTTTGTTTTAAGCTGCTTTGACCGCTTTGCGAATTTAAATGTTTTTACATGCTAGGATGTATCATTTCTACTTCATGCATTCTTGTGTCTTACTACATCTTGATTTTACCCAATATTTAAAGTTAAACGAAAAATTACTTTTGCAGTTTTTAAGTTCTATAGTCCATTACAATTTGGAATACTTACAGATTACTTGTTGTTCAAAGCACTGTTTAACTGCTACTTAAGCAACATTTTTTAATTTTTTTGCATGTTTTGTATTAACTCATGTTCCGTTTTTTCTTCATTGAAGGTGTAGTTATTAAAACTTACGGATAGATTTTGAATATATATTTTGATGAAATTTTCGTCATGCCATGCATACTTTATAACATAACTGTATTTTTGTGTTATACCATTTAGTACGGTTGAAAAGTTAGTATATGCAATGGTGATTTTCGTAGCTAATGGTAAGTGATCGCTTAAGTTAAATGGTGGAAAAAGTTAAAAGGAGGAATAACTTTTACATTTATAAAGGATAGTGTTGACTCTTTTAGTGCTGCAAAGTGATCGATTGAAGATGAGTTAGAGAGAGATTTTAATGCTGATAGGTGTAGGTTATCTTCGAGAGAGATAGGTGTAGGTTACCTTCGCCACTGATCGATAAATAAGAGTTTATTTGATTTAATGAAAGTAGAGAGAGGCTAAGAGAATTTAATGAAAGAGAGGCTAAGAGAATTTATTGCGTGTTTTGTTATTACAATACTCAGAATCGAAGATCTTTATACAATATGAATAAAAATCTCCAGCAATAATATATTCACTTACATCTTCATGGTTTTTTGATTATTTAAGTAATAAGCTTTAATTGTTGTGTATACTTTGAAAAAGAATCTTGTTGTTTCGACATAATGTAAGGTAAATACCAATAAAGATAAGATTTAAACACTTTTATATATCGTTAATAGCAAAGATTTTTTTATCTTCATAAATTATGCGAGAAGACAACAGAAAATCCTTTTTAAAAATGAGTGTGTTCTCTCCAAATGGTCTTCAATATGCTTTTTTTTCCAATGCAATGTTTTGCAATGTTGTTCAACAAAAAAAATTTAAAAGAAAATATTTTGATATAAAGATTGATATAAAATGACTCAACCAGTTCGGAAATATAAACTAACTTTGTATTAGTACTGATTTATATAGTAAACGGTTTACACAGAAGTAACCTTGAGTTTTTTTCTAATGTTAAAAATTGAGTTTTTAATCAACTATCCCAGACAGCAAGCCAGATTTGCTCTAATGTAAGTTTTAACATCTAATGTAACTAATGTAATTTTTAACTGTAAAAACTGTTTTAAAGTTTTTTCCGTTTTCTTCCAATGTACAACTAATTCAGTTGATTAATATTATATTACAATTTCGTTACAATTATAAATACTACAATTAAAAATATAATTATTATATTATTGTTACAATAATACAATATTATATTAATAATAGAGTTTAAAATTATTTACAATTATATTATAATATTATTTTAAAGTTGTACTGAAATAATTTGTGTCGTCAACCTAGCAAGCTTTTCTATCTATATAGTACAAAAGTGCCTCAACCACCTAGATAAAAATAAGACAACCGGCTACAACGGATTACACCAATGGGTCTTCAGTTGTGAATGTGCTACTACCTTTGCAAAGCTTTTTTTGCTTATCTACAAGTGCTCGATCGCAATTGGTGTAGTTCCCAACTTGTGGAGAAAATTGAATGTATTGCCTATTTTCAAGGAGAGTAAACTAAATGCATCAAACCCCCGGTAGCTCGCTTATATTCATTTCATGCAAGATAATGGAAAGTATTTTTCAAACAAACATAATGGAATACTGTGTAGCTAATTGTCTTTTTACTCCAAAGCAACGTGGCTTTGTTTATCGTAAGTATTGCATCTCAAACCTGTTAGAAACTTGGGACATCATGATGGAAGCAATTCATCGCAGTCACACAGTAGACGCCATATACACATATTCTGCAAAGACGTTTGACAAATTGCCACATAAAGACCTTCTTTATAAGCTAAGAGCTTACAGTATTCAAGATGTGCTTGTAGACTGGATCTCAGCTTGGTTACGCAAACGAAGTCAACGAGAAGTTATCAACGGTATCACATCTGAATGGCTAGCGGTTACTAGTGGTGTGGCTCAAGGCTTGGGACTATTGCTCTTTGTAATTTTCATTATTGACCTGCATCATTCAGGACAGCATCACTCATCATATGAAACTATATGCTAACGACAGAAAAATTATTGGCGTAATTAAAAATGAGTCGGACTGCACCACTCTCCAAGCTGACATTATATTTTCCAATATCTACTTAATAATAACATTTGTCTAATACCGAAGCAATAAACATTTCTGCATTGAGCTTATAAAACGGCTAACGCGGGCTAATGTATACCAGCTATTAAGAGTGTTTGTAACTGCTTCAAACTTTTGTTAATATATATTAAATTGTTAAATAAAATACATTGTTTTACATCTCAATTTATATTTCCAAATTTAATATTAAAAATTTAAGGTGTTATTTAAATAAATTTAAACCTTAAATTTTAACTATAAATTTAAAGTAATAAAACCTTAATTTGGGATACAAATATTTTAGAAACGATATGAAACATTAATCAATTAAAGTTAAAGTGAACTTTTTTCCAGAAACTAAAGTTCTTAAAAATTATAAAATGCTTGCAATTTTTAAATCTATTTTATTAAAACTTTAGACTATTTATGTAATAAAGAAAGTTTTCACACGTTTGATGTTCACGCGGCAAACGTAAACTATATTATTTAAAAGTAACTATAAGAAAAGTACCAACCATTATTTAATTGCAAAAACATAAGAAAAAAAAAAACAAAAAACCAATCATTATTTAATTGCAAAAATGCTTTGACACTTTAGATTAACACAAATTTTTTATTTTAATCCTTAAACTATTTTTTTTTTCGTGCTACCTAATGCTACTTTCATGCTATCTAATGCTACTTTCATGCTACCTAATGCTACTTTCATGCTACCTAATGCTACTTTCATGCTACCTAACTGATCTCTTGAAAATGAAACTTTAAATTACCCTTTATTTATATCATAGATAAGTCCAATAGACTCATCTTTCTATCGATGTCACTTACACTTAATGAAAAACTGCAAGTCCAATAGGTTCATGTTTTTATCAATGTAGACTTACAATTATTAAGAAACTACAAGTCCAATAGATTCATATTTTTATCAATGTAGACTTACTCTTAATGAGAAATTTAGTTTATCCTATTTAGCTTAATTTGGAACACTTGCACAAAAAACTTTTTTGGTATCCATTTGTTTTTTAATTGGCTTAAAGCACTCCAGTACCCTTATAAAATTATGAAACTTTTAAAAAATCTCATTTACCCTGAAACAAAAATATTATCCGTGGTTTTGTCGCTTTTTATAATTATTTCAAGATATACATTTAATGATAAAAAAAAAGTAGTTACTTTATTTGGGTTAATATATAAATACTATTCTTTTTTTTTTTTTAATATTCTTAATCTAAATTTTTAATAAAAGTTTTTACAAAAATCATTAAAACTAAATTGTGTATTATTGTTTACATATTTTTTTAGATAAAGTAGAATGACATCATCAAAATCACTTTCGAGCTTTTTACAAAGCCTTGAGGCAAAAGATCTTTATACAGTATTTAATTTATTTAAAGAAAAACCGATTTTTGTTAACAGAGAAACATTCTGTGAACTTTTGTCAAAAACTCTTACAAAAGGAGACGAAACAGATTACCAACGTTTGTTTGATAGCGTTGATAGTAATAAAAGTGGCCTTCTAAGTTGGGATTCCTTATGCAACTATTTACTCCTGAAATATTATGAGCAAGATGAGCTAAGGTCAGCAATACAAATTCCTGAGTGGAAGACTGCAGAGTTTGTCCCAATTTTTCATAAAAAATCAATATGCCGCATCTTAGAATGTCAACATTCCTACGTTGTTGTTAGTACAGATGGACAGTTAACATTTCTTAACAATGATTTAAAAACAAATCATACAGTTAAACTGAAAACTGGCGTAAATGAAGAAAAATTAAAAAATCTCTGGGTGACTGATGCTATTTTTATAGAGAGTATAAGTAAATTTGTTTTTTCGACTACAAAAAAAGAACTCTACTTTTATGATATTACGACTCCAAAACTTTCTTATTGTCAGGGTAAATTTCATAACTTAAATGCTGTTCCCCTTTGCTTAACAAGTAGATCAGATGAAAATCAAACCAGAAGCTTTATAATAGCATATGGTGACACCAATGGAACAGTATACATCATTTATTTTTCTTCATATGCGATCTTTCAAAATAAAAGAGATAGTAAAATAAAAAACAATGTATTCACAATTAATGATATTATAAACGGTGCAGTTTCGTGTGTATCTTGCATAAAATACGACGCCCATAGCAACTGGGTAAGTAGCATAATGCATGTTTCATACTTGAACTGTGTTGTATCATGTTCAGCATCGAAAGCAGATTCTTTAACTTTAGCATGGCTTGCAAAAAAAGATAAAAAAGTAAAACTAACTAAGTTTAGTGTTTCGCTTGGTATTAATGAATTTGATTACCATAAAAAACTGAATATTATAGCATCAGCTGGTATTGATACAACGATTTGCTTGTGGAACCCATACCACGCTAACAAACCGGTAGGAGTTTTACGCGCTCATAGTTGCGTTGTAGCTGGAGTTAAGTTTATTGTGGATAGCTTCCAACTTTTGAGTCTTTCAAAGGACAGCGTTTTGTGTCTATGGGATGTTAATTTGCAACACTGTTTGCAAAAGTTATTTTGTGTGTTTCCTACGGATCCGGATGTTAACATTATCATGCATTTTAGCATGGAGAATTTTTATCTTTTTGTGTCAATTAACAATCAGCTTAGTATTCTCAAAGCAGTTAAGAAAAGCTTCAAAACAACTCATAAAAAACCTATTAAAGATGTTACTTACAATTCAAAATACGATTACGTCATAAGTGTTTGCGAAGAATCAAATATTGTTATTTGGCTTTTAAGTACAGGTCAAAAATTTAGAACACTGCTAAATCCGCATGAAGGAACAGAGATAACATCAATGGTTCTTAGTGATGATAATGACCGTTTATTAACTGCGAGTAATAATGGACGAATTAAAATATGGGACATGAATGAATTTTATTCAACGGATCTTTATGTGGGTAATTTTTCTGTAGATTTTGAGGATTGGCATTTATTTAAGTTAATGTTCCTAAAAAAAATGATAATTGTTATTAATAGTAACAGTAATTTGTGGTCAATACCTTTTAGCGCCAATAATAATTGCTATTGCCAACCTGTAATTTGGAAAATTAGGCCGGAACATTCAAATGAAATAACAGCAGCTTATGTTCAAGAACCAAATTACTTGGTTACTGGCAGCTTTAATGGCATTATATTAGTTTGGGATACTAATATCCAAAATGTACTAAAAATGCTTACGGCTACTAAAAACCCTGACGTACCGGAGAGTTACTTCCATACATCGTTTAAAAACTCTGAAAATAACACATTTAAAAATGGTTTTCTAAAGTTACCTCTTTTGAATGATTGTAATACAACGTTATTAAAGAACTCAAATACTAATTATACTAAAACATCTGCAGAAAATGTTCCTGAACAAAATGAAAAAATTCAACATTGTGACCAATCTGTTTCTGTTACGTCAATAGTTTTTCTTAAAAGAGATAAAAAGGAAAGTCCTGATTTACCTGACTTCTATACTTGCCACTACGATGGGACCGTCATATTTTGGAATGCCGGTATTAGGGTCTATGATTTTAAAGCATTTGAATCATACGGTCATTTTGTTTCTGATATTGATTCAACAAACTCTTTTTTTTGTATTGGCTCAAAAAATGGCACATGCAAGATATGGGATTTGTCTAAATGTTTTATAAATGAAAACTTTCCCATCATAGAACCTGTACTAGTATCTTATTTTACTCCTCATAGTGACCAAGTATCGGTTGTACGGTTTACTGAAAAAAACAATTTAATTTTTATTTTGTCTGCTTCTGACGATTGTACAGTCGCTCTTCATTACTTTGACAAATTAAATGACGTCTTTAACTTTGTTTTAGTTGGTGTGTTTGGTCAAGACTCAAATTGGAACATAGACACTTTGAAACTTAATGAAACATTTTTTGAAAAATATACAACAGAAACAGAAATTAAAGAAGTTAACATGGCACAAAACCCTAAAGCAACTAATTCAACAGCATATAATTCTTCAGCCATTTTACAAAAAATAAAAACTAATTCAAACAATACCTTAAAAGAAAATTCTTACTTGGTTTCTTCTACTGAGAAAAAAGTAAAAGAAAATTTAGTTTCTACTAAAAATATGTATTTAAAACAAAAGCAATTATTTAAAAACTCAGTTGAAAACGGAACTTTATACAAATGTCTGCAAACTTACAATATTATGGACATAAATTCACTGTGTAAACCAAAACTTTTTGTTAATTCTGAAATTGAGGCAACAAGAAAATCCCAAAATGTTATTTTGCCCCACTTAGATAACTTGAGTAAAACAAAAATCCGTTTTAATGAAGCTATGCTATTTCCTCCGCTTAACACAGCACCTTTACCACCACTCAGCAACATTTCAACGCTTATTAATCCGCTCAACAACGATGTGATTGTTCCAACTCCATTTAACAACGCTAAAATAAATTAAAAATAGAAAACATTATTAACAAAGGTCCTCTTACGAAATAAAGTATAAAAATATATTTAAGAAATATTACATACATAAATGTACTAGGCCATGTGAGAGTGGTAGTTGAGAGATATTACCCTGTGAATCGAATACCAAAGGAAACCAAATGTCAAAAAAATGTTCAAAAAAAGAAAATTAACCGAAATTTGTTTTATTCTTCTTTATGTATCACACGACCCATACTTTCGTTATGTTGATAGAACAGTTTTATAAATAAATTAGGTCTCAGGCTCTTTCAATTTGGCATTTATTGATGAATGAAAATATTTAAATTTTTACAAGCAGTTTTTTTTATTTTAATTTACTTTTTTTATTTTAATTAGATGCCCCATGAAGACCTTACGGTCTTATCACAGAGCACCGCGGATGAACATTTATTTATAAGTTCACGCCTCCTTCCTAACCGATATGGCAAATCTTGCTCAGAGATGGGGCTTAAACCACGGATCCTTTGTTTCTAAAGGCAAGTGCACTATCACTGCGCCACGGCTGCTCAAATTAAGCCGTTTTCAAGGATAGCTTCTACCTTTGTTTTTGCTTTGGTCTTTTTTTCTTCACCAAAACGAGCATAAATTACGCTTCCAAGCAAAAGTTTGCTTTTTGATGGGATTAGAAAATGATGATTGATGTTTATTAAAAAACATTTATTTACAAAACCTGCAATTGCATGTGATCCTAACTTTTTTATTGCAAGCATATCTTTTACACCAGACGCTGTCGAACAATCCCGAAACAAGCCAACCGATTTAAACCGGAAGTTAAAGATAGTAGTTGTTCACCAAATATACTATTAAAGGTTTTTGTGTAGGATTGACAGAACTGAAACGATACTTTTATTATATTTGGCAATTCTAGACGGTGAAAGTTCTTTACACTTGCGCACTTCGAGTTTCAGGTAACGGGTAATGCATAAGTCTTCGAACTTTTTTTATAGAGTCGTAAAAAAATATTGTTAGTTAGATAAAAAAATGAAACTATATGGTAATATAAAACATTCATTCTAGTATTTATTAATATATTTAACATTTTGAATAGACGCCTTTATCAGCGATTTTTCTAAGTTTTGTTTTAACACTCATCATTAGTCTTTGTAACAGATCTGGATCATTTTCTTTTATTTCTTTAAATTGCTCTTTATTCTTCGAACTAGTTAATATATGCTACGTGCTCTCCAACCATCACTGTATACCATCTGACTTAAAATATCCCAAAATGTTTCAATTGGTCTAGCCAGTGGAACATTTGGTGGATTAGTGCATTTTTGTACAAATTTTATGGAATTATCAATAAACCAATTTTCTGTTTTATTAGCATAATGTGCAGTTGCAAGATCTGGCCAAAACACAAAATTATTATCTTTATGATGTTCTCTAACAAATGGTATAGGTCTTTTCTTCATACATTCTTTCACATATTAGATGTTATTGAATTCTTTGATCTATGTATATAAGGTTCACAAAATCCATTTGAAGAAATGCAAATCCAAACCAATACCTTTTCTTCGAATTTTTTTTTCAACTTATATTTTACATTATCAGGGGCTAACAATTTATTATTTGTATAATATATATAATTTCCAGGTATATTTGAGTTTGATAAGTTAAAATATTTTTCGTCATCCATGATTATATCTTTTTCATGGAATACTTTATTAACTAATCTTCTCGATGATGTTGCTGCTCTCTGTTGTTGATCTTTTTCATACAAAGGTGCTTTTTGTTTTTTAAAGCATTTAATATCTGTTTTGAAATTAATAGTTCTTGAAATTGTGCTTTGGTTCACCTTAAAATATGAAGCTAAATACTTTTGACCAATACCAGTTGAATTATTTAGCATTTTAGTCAATAGTTTGACTTTTTTCTTATCCATTTTTGGAGGACAACCTGATCTAACCAAATCATTATACAAACCATACTTCTCATACCTTGCAAGAATACTAAATATAGTTGACTTTGGTATTCCTTCATTTTTAAAATGTTTATATGTTAATTTCTTTTTATCACTTGAACGATTTTCATAGAACGTTACAATTCGTTTTGCGAGGGCTTCTCGATCAAACCTTGTCATTTTTTTTTTATAAAAGTCTAGATAAAAATTAAAAGTGATTTAAATACATTAATGTTTGATCTTCAAAATAAACAACAAGTTAAAGGTTGAAAAATTACTCTCCTTATTTATATCAGTTTCAAAAAAAGTTCGAAGACTTATGCATAACCCGTTATTAGTAGAAAACAATGCGCAATCGAGCGTTGTATCTGGCGTTAATATTTTATTGTTGAATAGACTAATGTTGGCCAAAATTCCAGTAGTCCCTTCAGGTTATAAAACTTTTGATATCTATTTAAAACCTGCTAAACAACCCATTAATTAAGTTAGATGCAAAAATTCCTCAGTAACTTTGGTTACATTTCCATTTAAACATTTTCTCTTTTTTTTTGAGAAAAAATGCTTTTTCTTCAACTGTGTGACTCTAAGCATCACAGAGAGGTAATAACAATCTTTTTAAAGTTTACAAATGATATTCTTTACTTTGTCTTTTAACTGCTTATTTTTTTTATTGAGCTAATAATTTTTTCCTTAAAGTAAAGGCTGTTTATAAAATTATTTGGTTCAAAGTAATATGGCTTTCTCTCACTTTTATTTAATCCAATTAATTATTTAAATTTACAAACCTTGTCACTTATTGGGAAATGTTAAATATCTACGGAAAACCAACCAAACCATAATAAATTTTATGGATATTGCGTCCAGGGACGTCCTGAAGAGGTTTTCCATCGGAGATGTTGTATGCATATTTTGCCAACTAGGGACACCAAAGAAAAAGAAAAAAAAGGTCCTGAATATTTGCAATTTGCCAACTATATTTAAAAACTTGCTCAATGTGCCAACTCAAATGCTTATGACAGCTTTGATGAGGGAAGGGGAAGATCCCTATTCCTGTTTGGGACGGCCATGATTGCATCACTTTAAAATTTTTAATTTGAGCTTTTTTTTCAGCCAGTTTTTAAAGTTTAATCATTTACTTTCAGTTTTAGTTTTATTATATCCGCCAAAACTATTGTATGGACTAATATCAGAATGAAATGTTAGACATTTAAAAGATCCTTCTAGTTAAAAGCATACAGCTTTTAAGGTGCTTCAACTGTTTGTTAATTTTGTAAAATATTTATTCGTTAGGAAACACCATAATAGTAGTTTGGACGAAACAGTTAGAAACAATCTACTTAAGAAAGCCACTTTATTTTTTCGCATAACCAACAACAGAATTGATCACAGTTCTCTATTCATTATAACATGACCTTAAGTGAACAAAGCAAGGCTTACCTCCTCAGAACCGAATGCAAAAAACGCAAAGCCACTTTTAGTTCAACTGCTAATACAATCCGCGTTATTCGAGGGAGCACAATAAAAGAAACACCAAAACATCATTAGCCACCAATAAAAACAACAAAGAAACGCCAAAGCATCATTAGCCAACAATAAAAACAACAGCATATCGGAATTATATTCTAATTGTTTCACTCGCTTTCAGGGCCGTGTTAAGGCGGGGGCGGATGGGGCTGCAGCCCCAGACCCTTATAAAAAAAATAGGCCCTAAGGCCCGTGATTTTTTTTTTTTTTTTAGGGAACCAGATAAATATCCCTATGTTTCTCAGTTTTTTTAAATCAATTTATTGGGAGTTGCGGAGGCGTTGTGAATAATTAAATGAATAGAGATATAGTTTCATTTTTAGTTATAAATGATTTTTTTTTTTATAATGAATTTCTTTATAATGAATTTATAATGAATTCATTATAAATAATTCATTATAAAGAATTCATTATAAGAATTTATATGAATTCATTATAAAGAATTTATAATGAATTTTTTATAATGAATTTTTTATAATGAATTTTTTATAATGAATTTTTTATAATGAATTTTTTATAATGAATTTTTTATAATGAAATTTTTTTTATAATGAATTTTTTTAATAATGAATTTATTATGAGTTTTTTTTTTATAAATGAATTTCACTTTTAGTAAATAAATGAATAGAGATTAAGTTTCATTTTTTATTTTATGATCACTTCCGTTACCGCAGAAAATTACAGCATTGCTCATTCGTTTACAAAATTAAAATAAAAAATGAAAAGAAGCAGCCTGAGCGGTTGGGACAAAATACAAAAAAAGAAGAAGAATGAGATTCAATTAAATGAATTATTGAACAAAAATAAAAAAATGACTGAGTTTTGTAATACTGCAAGTAGTGTCTCGGTATCAGCTACAGCGAGAGCGAGTTCAAATTCACTAACTATGTCAATAATGTCAGTACCAGTTCCAGGTAGTGCTAATAGTGTCCCTGCAGACTCAGCTACAGCGAGTTCAAATTCATTTATGTCAGCACCAGTTCCAGATAGTTCAGCGAGTTCAAACTTATTTATGTCAGCACCAGTTCCAGATAGTTCAGCAAGTTCAAACTCATTATGTCAGCACCAGTTCCAGATAGTTCAGCGAGTTCAAACTCATTTATGTCAGCACCAGTTCCAGGTAATTCTAAGAGTGTCTCAGCAGACTCAGCTATAGCGAGTTCAAACTCATTTATGTCAGCACCAGTTCCAGGTAGTTCAGCGAGTTCAAACTCACTAACTATGTCAGCACCAGTTCCATTACATTACATTACATGGTGACAATTTGGCAAAGGTCAAACAGAGAAGTGAAGTACATGATGTACTTCACTTCTCTGTTTGACCTTTTCTGAGGGGCAGCTTCCCCCCTGACCCTCCTACTTGGGGGTCTGGGGCCTCCAAACCCCCGGCTGGGGGCCTCCGGCCCACTGACCCCCGGGTTTAGCCTCGCTAACGCTCGGCATTTTTACCTTACCGCCACATTAGGCCCTCCTATACTTACAGCCCCAGGCCTAAAAATTTCCTAATCCGGCCCTGCTTGCTTTGAATTACAATCGAGATAAACCAAACAACTCTTTGAAACAATTAAATAATACTAAAACTAGCCAATTAGTAGCCTTTTCAACAAACCTATATCAATTGAGAATGTTACAATAAAATGTTATGTTTCACATTAAATACATAAAATTATTAAAACTTTGCAACATTATTATTTGGAAGTAAAAATAAGCGGAACTCTAAATAAAATTATTAATTACGCATACTATATCGCGAGATCAGTAAACAACAAACTAAAACATCTACATAACCTTTTCTAAAACTGCAATCTCAATGTTATTTTCATCACGGAGAAAAAGAAAAAACAGATTATATAAAGCAGAATTGAATT